AACACTGTCACTTTCTTAGTGGAAATTATGTTTTAGAACCATGAATCAACTGTCCTAGTTAGCTCCCTGTATTTGCCAAATGCACAGTTTTGCTTTTGTGTGTCAGTAGAGTCAAATCTGTCATTATCTTTGGCTTTCATGTTACATTCCTTTTATCAGTTAGGTAGGCTCCGATCTCCTCCTCTTCACAACCCAACAAGTAGCCTTACTAAGTCTCAGGGCTGCTACAGGGAACCTGTGCCCTGTAGAATTATGAAAAGTTTTGATAAAGTATCCCATTCCAGTTAAGAAAACACAGGATTAGATCCCTGCAAAGTCCACTGGATATACTTTGAGGGTTTCTTCATGCTGCATTAATATATTTAGCAAGATGCTTTTTGTTTTTAATAGCAAAGCTATTTGATAAAAGGGAATATGCAGGAAAAAATGAACAGGGAATTCACTAAAACAAGGCATTCTTCCATACTAAATTAATCTATGCTTTAAAAGCAAAATTCCTTTTATACTGAAACAGTCTTTCTCTGGATGCATTCAGAAAGTAAGACTTGCCCATACCCTAACCTACCAGATAAGCTCCTCCTAGAGCTGAGAAGGCAGCACAGCCCAGTGCAGCTGATAACATTGGTGCACGTAAGCATCTGTCCAGCATTGCCCTGACACTTCCATGTGGTGCCAGCACTGACAGCCCTTCAGTGGCCCTCTGCAGTGGAATGTTATCTGTGCCCCTCTGTGCCAGCACGGCTGTTGAGAGATTAAACACGCTCAGAAACTCTCAGGTAGGACCTGTGCTACACATACAAGCTTTGAAATTTACTATCATCATTTATACAACTATACATAACATATATGTGAGTAGTACCATCAGTTATGCACTGAGGCCTAATGGTGTGCCCAGGCAGTCAAGAACAGCAAAATCCTGGGTGTTGCTTTAGAGAAAGTCCAGTTTTGTTCTCCCTGAAATCAGTGTCAGCATCAGCAGACATGTATGTATATGACTTATGACTTATATATGACACATATAATTTATGACTTATATATGGCCTTAAAGACTACAAGCAAAAAGCCTGAAGTACACATATGTGGTAAGGGTTTGATATCATATTCATGATACAGACAGAAATGTTTTATCTGGACACTGAGATCACAGAGAAGAAGGAACAAATTCTTAAGGAGTCCCCTTGTATGCCATGCCCCTCCTCCAAGGTGGGATTAGCTAAACCTGAGCTGCACATTGCAAATATTTCTCACCTTGAGCACTTTTTCACCAGGGGCTACAGCAGAGACAGAAGGGTGATCAGGAAATAAATAAAGAAATAGAGGGTTTATGTACTAAAATACTTAGAATGCCGAATTACAGTGTGTTCAGATCTTCCTTACGGATTTTTTTTCTTTGACTTCCACAGCCAGAGAACCAATCCATAAAACAGAGAATGCCATTTATGTACAATGCTTCAATTTCTGTATGAAAACTGAGATATAAATTAGGCAAAGGCATTTGACCAGGGACCTGAATTAGAGGTACACAATCAGAGTTAGTCTAATTCAACAAAAATCAGCAGACTTTAAAATAATTTGGCCCACAGTATTACAATACAAAAAATATATGGTGTATTTACAACCTTGGTCTCTCCAGCTGTGTTGGTTTAGGTTTTATTACATCAGTAATAACAATTTATGCGATACTCTGAATAATGTGCTATTAAAAATTCAGTACACTATATATTGTTACCCATGGGATTTAAACTGTGTGAGCTATGTGCATTATTCTCTACTTTGCTATTTCTATAGGAGTGAAGATTACTATAAAAATGGTTAGGTTATATACATCATGTGAATTCCTGCTCTGCTTGAATCCAGGTGAAGAGAAGAAATAGCTCAGTCCAGACTGCCTCGGGGGTAAGAGTCCCAAGAGTCTTAGTCTTGCAATCTAAGGTTACAACTATTCCACATTAAAGCATGAAAATAATATCAATGTTCTTTTTGATGTCTTTAAAGGACACCAGCAGATTTGTGAGGCATAACCTTCCTTAACAGGATCTATTTGATGCTTCTACAGAGCACCAGCTTTATCTGTGTGTCTATTGATTTTACTTATTATAGCAGTTCATCTAATTTTCCTGCTACAGAAGCCACACTGACAGTTTTGTAGTTCCTATGATCACCTTTGAAGGACTCTCCTGAAGCACCAGCAGGTCACTGGTACAACTCCTATGTTCTGTTTTGCTGACAGTAGGATCAGGATCAGCAAAAACCAACCAATTGGCACTAGCGCGTGAGAAGCTGAGCATTTTATTCCCTTGGTGGAAATACTGCACAGCTCCAGCAATTGGTTACTAGTTAATTTATCAATTTCTCTTGAAGTGTTTCCTGATGACAATTTACTTCAGAACAGTTGCTCACAGCCCACCAAATTTAGCAAGGCAAATAATTCTTTTAGCTGTGGACATAGCCACATTGAATGCTTCTTCTGTGCTTCCATCCTCCATAGCTTTACTTACAGTCTCACAGGACTCCTTTGAAAACATTTAGACTGTTACTTGCACATTCTTGGCAAAACCTTAAAATCTTTTTGGTGACCTTTCTTGTGGTTTTACATTTAATATGTATGCTCCTTACTTACATAACTTCCATTTTTGGAAGATGTCTTCATTTTCTTCCCTCAGATGACACAGTTTCAATATTTATGAGTGGCACTGCTAGTATCCTTATCAGACTCTGGGAGCAGGGCCCAGGTGAGGGAGCAGTAGAAAACAGTAATCACAGTGCATTGTATTTCCTTTTTATAACCAGATGTTCCATTGCAAACAACTAAAAGGCAGTAAAACAGGATTAATCAAATAGATAGCAATTAAAGTCAAAGCTTTCATGGTGTTTATATTTACACTTTACTTGTCTTTCTTAAAATTCTACATACATATTTGTTAAATTTGGTAAATATCTTAGAATCTCTTTCTAAATATAAGAAAAGGAGAAGCTTAATTCAAATGTTCTAAGCTGCCCCCCTTTTCTGTTTGGAAAGTGTGGTAGTGCCTTTAAATTGCTATGTGTCAAAACCTGGAAGGATTTACCAAGGAAGCAGTCATCCCCTGTGTACTCTGTTCTTCAATACTTTCTTAGAGCACCTGCTTGAATCCCATTACAGAGCTGAGGAGAACTTTTGGTCTAACTTAGCATCCCAGTTCTTATTAATGGAGTTAAATCATATGATTTTTATAACGTATTGAAGAAAATCTGATAGGATCAATTGTGAAATAATTGCCTTTGTGCCGGTTCTCCACCCTGCAAAGACAGAAAATTCATATAAGGAAGACAACATGATCTGAACAAAGAAGCATGAATTTCTGTCTCTGACATGTTATTACCCCACCATTAGTTGGAAAATAGCATTAATGTCTTCATATCTGTTATGAGATCAAACTCAGAGGTATCTATATACTACTAGGTGAGCAAAACCTGTTTATTTATTTATCATTGTCCTGAAAGACAGGAAGTGGTTTATCTCATTCCTGCTGTAATGAATGTCCTCCCAAGCAACCTCTCTCAGTTCTAATGTATACATTATTCTAGAGGAATTCTCTCACAGACATAACAAACATACACTCTAGCACGCTTTGAGAATTAAGATCCTGAATAATATGTTTGTTTCTCAGTGCTGTGGGGTAAATGTTTTCAAGCTGCCATAGACAGGCTATTTTCAGGGGCTCCCCAGAGGCAGGCCCAGCTGCCTGTGGCACAGGCAGGACCTGCAGAGCAGGACCTGGAGCTGTCCCGCAGCAGTGTCACCGCCTCTGCACGGGTGAGGCAGCACCAGCACAGATGCTGCCATCTGCTGCTGCATCAGCTCCCTGCTGCTCCACAGGCCAGCGTTTCTGGAACCACCTGAGGACACAGTGGTCTTTGGATGCACAGGTAGAGAAAGGTGAGTAAAAGGACACAGAAAAGCGGTTAAGGATTAAAATTGGGTGGTGGGGGAGAACTGGATGGTTAAGGGATGAAGCTGGTGGTAGTAAGGGGACTAGTGCTGCAGGAACACGCATCAGGACCTAGCTGGACGCTAGGAGGAACACTGATGGGATAACAGAAGTGGCACGTTTCCCTAACCCTGCAAGGCTCTGCCCTTTTTAGGACAGATACAAACCTCAACTGCACTGAGCAGCTACAATACATGTCAAAATAATCTGCCAGAACTGGGCTGAGGTTCTGGTGTCAAGTCAAATGGCAGAAAATACTTGTAAATCAAGCAGACAGTGTCAAGTCTGTATCACATCTGATAAAACTGTCCAATGTTGATGCTGAAGAAATAAAGGTGCAATATTTTTCTCTAGGAGGTGCAGTTCTTTGAGATATCTGGCAACTTCCAGTCTTAAGACCATGGAAAATAACATTATAGTGGTCCATATTATAGCACCCATGTACTTCTAAGCTAAACATACGGGCAATATATAGTAACTCAGTGCTTCACTTCCCTGTTCTGCCTTGTAGGGAGCCACTGGACCAAAGCAGATTTCATTAAATGTTCTTAATTTATTCTGCCTCATTGCTCTTTTGTAAACAGGGAAGTTCACTTGAGAGCAAGGCATTTAGTTCAAAAGGAGTATTGTGAGTGAATATGCAAATTTAACACACACCACCAAGGTAAGATTCCTCGTTAGCCACTGGAGTGTCTCAGAAGTTAAGGGCTTTTGATTGCAGGGTACAGCACAGCATTCTCCCGAACATTCACTCTCTTTACAACTTCCCCTTGAAAAATTCTTTGACAACCAATGGTTGTCACAGTTTAAATCCCAATCTAGGTCAGAGAAAAATTTGCAACTATATATTGGTTCCTTACTTTGTGGTTCATCTTTATTACTTTCTTTTTGACCAGGATGATAGAAACAACATTTTATTCATTCTTACTAGGATTAAAAAAAAAAAAAAATAACACAGGAAAGGTAATGATTAATCCATTCTGTAAGAAAAAGGAAGAAATCTGATTGTGAACTCATTGGTATTATCTAACCAGTACAAATAGACGTGCACTCAGAGAAGGCATAGAATGACAAGCCCGTGATGAATTGTTAGGGCATGTTGAGTTGGTTCTGTCAATGCCTGCAGTCAGATGATTTCACTGGCTGTACAAGATGAAATCTCATATTTCAACGTTTAAGTAAAAGTGTCAAAGTTCAGCTGGAGCAGGGACGAATACAGAACAAATTTTGTGTGTATTTGTAACTAGGGCACCAGAGCAATAGAGGAAGCCAAAATGAGCCGGAAAAACAAAAGGAGTTTAAAAGAGAAATTTTCCTTGAAGAACAGCCTGGTTAAAGAAGCCCTCTCAGAGTTCCTGGGAACTTTTATACTGATAGTAAGTGTCTGCTGCTTTCCTTTCTTCCTACTAATTTAATGTTGGACAGTGGTTGTAAGGGGACATGTATACTTGTCTTGTACTCTGCCAGCAGCGAGGTTACAGCCTGACCATGCACAGCCTGAATGAATTGTTCCTATGACGGTAAGTTTGTAATTCCTTTCTTCACCCCATGTAATTATCACTGCCTATAAAAAACAGATTGTTTTATGTATTACAATTGTCTGATTGGTGTTAGATTTCATCTAGGAGTGGAATTTCAGTGAAGGAGCACATTCTAAACAAATCCAGATATGCACAATGAATGTTGTTAATACTCTCCTGTTTCTTAAAAACTCAGCAGTTCATTTTATGCACAACTGTGTTTACATTAACAAATATATTGTACTGCATGTTTAGAAAATTTTAGTTGAGTTGTTTTCCTGTGTAATATAAGAATTTAGCTTTGTCATTTGTAGTGAATTTATTGGGAATTGCATTGCCAAACCCTCGGAGATTTTTTAAGTTAATTTTTTTTGTTTTGTTTTTAACCATACTACATAAATTATACATATATTACTTGGTCCTGTAGTACTGCTAAAACTTAGATAAATAGCTAAATTTCCCATTTTTATAACCCCAGATTTTTTTTAAAACATAATTTCTTGCTCAGTTTTTCTGTGCATTTTGCACTGGGACTGTGACTCACCAGGGGAGAGAGCAGGCTGCGTAGCAGAGCAAGATGTCAAGCAGCTAGACTATTTATGCCAAACTTTCTTTCTTTCTCCTTTTAGTCTGGACAATGCAGTCTTGCTTATTGCTAAATATTTCATCACAGCGAAAAGGCAAAAAAAAAAATAGCAGCAGGCACAGCACTGACCTAGGTTTTATGATTTTGACTATATTAGCTAAATTTCAAGTAAGTAATCTAAAAATTCCAGTAGCTCATAAAATACTGGGAATTATGATCTTTACTACAGTTCAGCCAACTGAAGTGCACCGGCACTAAAATAACATTATTCTCAAATTTAATACCATCCATAAGATGTTATTACAGTAAGGAGCACATTTAGAAGCAAGGAGCACAGAGCACTTTACAAACATTAATGAATTAAATGTCACAACACCCTGGTAAGGAGGGGAAATGTCATTATCTTCATTTTGTATATTAGCAAACCTGATTACAGGAGCCTGCACAGGAAGCCTGTGGCAGAACTCTGAATATAACCCACATCACCTGACTTCCAGTACTCTGTCCTCACCACAAGATCCTCCCCCTCTTTCCATTAATAAAATTAAGCAAGAGAAGAAAACATATTAAAGTGCAGATTAGACTAGCAAATGCTATTATTTAATATTATGCTGCACAAGGCTAGAAAGGAAATACAAACCCAGATCCTGTTTTCTAGTATATTCACCATATGAGTGCAGTAGAAAATGAAGCTACGAAATTGTTGTTGACAATCTGAGTTTCTCATTCCTCTTTCCCTTTCTAGTTTCAGTCTTGGTTTAAAGCATAAGGAGCCTCACCTGGATTAAAATGCAGCTTTCTCAGTGCTTGGATACCTCGGCTTGTGTTAAGGCTGCACACGTTAGCAGCAGTAGCAAGTGTTTATTGTGAAGAAACTGCCTTTTCTGCTGTTGTCGTAAGCTGCACTGGGGAAGTTTAGGTTACATGTCAGGAAGAAATTCTTCACTGAAAGAGTGATTGGGCACTAGAATCACCTGCCCAGGGAGGTGGTAGAGTCACCTTCCCTGAAGGTTTCTAAAGTGCCATGGTTTAGTTGTTGAGGTGTTCTTAGGTGAGAGGTTGGACTTGATCTCAAAGGTCTTCTCCAATCTAGTTTGTTCTATGATTTTGTGATTCTATTTATTGCTGTTGCTTTTAAGCTTTGTCAGCTAGTAAGCACTTAAAGCACAGATAAATACGAAACCCTTAATTTAAATTGGAGCTAATGAAAGAGGTTAGTCAGAGGACAGAAATCTTTAAAAAACAGCATGTATTCAAAAGGAGTTGGAGTAATAGAATAGTGTAAGAACTATGTGTTAAAGCTGTTACAAATGCAGAGGAGAGTTTACAGCCTACAGCACAGCTGATTCATGTCTTTGCTGAAAGCCATTTCAGGTTGCTGTGATGGGGTTTTAGAGATTGTGGAGAGCACCTGTGCCAGGGAGTGAGGCTGAGACAGCATTTCTATTAGCCACAGGCTCTGTCTGGAAGCCAATGCTAACTGACCACACCTAAATCTGGGACCCACTGCTGGGAGTTAGCCGGGTGAAATTCTGTCCCTCCAAATCACCTATTTCTAATTTTTCTGGAGAATAACTTCAGAAGCTACATACTAATAGGAGCCTAAACTACCATCTTTGGAAACTCTTAGTCTTGCAACATTATTTTCCAAACAGGAAATCTAGAAAGTGGAATCACTCATCAGACTAAAACCCAGCCTTCACCTCAGGGTGTGGCCTGCAATGTCAGACAGATTTGACACAACAAGCCTTGAGAAAGGCACTGGGCACAGAATTTGGATAAAATCTCCTGGTCAGCCCTACTTAGCATGCTGCAGTTTGCCTTGCAGCATGGACTCAGAGCACGTAGACAAAATTCTTTCCAGGTGAAAATAAAGTAGAAGGTGAGCTCCAGAATCACAGGAAATGTGCTGACCATTAATGGATGCTCAATCCAGTGAATCAGACTGGAGATGCTCCAAATAAGTAATCCCTCCTGAGAGACCCACAGTTTCTCAGGTGCTTACATTACACAGTTTGATAATACAGGCACAGCCCACGTGAGCCATGCTCTCTGCTTAGCAAAGCACCTAATTCCAGTAAGAAACATGAAACTCCAGGAGTCTGGAAGCATTCTGAGATGGGAGAACACCTACCTGTTTGCACCATGGTGGCTGGGAGCCCAGCCTCAGACAGTCTCAGCCTTCTGCAGCTGGGACTGGCCCCAAGGTCTCCCTTGAGGAAGAGCTCTCTAGGGAGCTTTTAGTTCTCCATCATGTTTCCTGATTCAGTACATTTCCTCTTGGGATGTCTGTGAGTTAATCTGGGGGACAACACCTATGGGCTAGCACAAAAGAGTCAGGAAGCCATGCTGCATCAGACAGATGGTTTATGTGGCTTTTTAGTGAGTCTGGCTGGAATTCACCTATCCAACTGCCTCTCTGCTTTTAATCATGCTCCTCTCCATATTTCCTCTTTGGAACTTGACTGCATTGCTCTCAACCAAAATGGGATTTACTCTGACTTATGCCATTAAGTATATCTGAATTGAAACAGTTCCAAAAGGAGATGCCAAATAGGCCATGTGGCTTCCTTTAACAGCTACTGCTCACCTAACACAGTTTCTATTTCATTTTCACTCTCAAGAGCATCTTACTGAACAGAGTTTCCCAGAAAGGAGCTGCACAGGAGCCAGGATCTCCAGAGGCCAGAGCAGCATTCACTTCCTTGCTGAGACAAAACACAGGCTTCCATTTAGCATATAAATACAAGTAGGGAGTATATATATATGCTCCTAATATATACCTATATATTCCTATGTACATATTCCTATAAGCCTGGTCTCCAGCTGGAGGTGGGGAGCCTCTTGCAACTCTCACTGAAGCAAATATTTGTGTGTACTTAGAGAATTCAAGGCACAAGCATGAACTGAATACATGACTGCCCAGAAATAGTTCAGCTAATGAGGAAGGCTATTTTTCATCAAAATATTTTAGTCTTGTTTTTATATTCTGACCACTTCATTATGCAAGTTATCACTCCTGCTCTGTTGCAGAGTTTCTACAGAAGAATCTTCAAGATTGGCATTTGCTTAGTCCATAAGATTAAAATTTAAACAATTTTTCTATATCTACTTTTTGTGGCCCTACATTCCAGTGCACATTAATTACAATACTGCAGGGTAACATATATCCCCTATTCTAAACATGCATTAGAATTCTCATTACATTGTGTTATTATATGAAAGCAAACATAGCTTTTGATCCTTTGCTCCTTAAATAAGTGTTTAACATTTAACACAAAACCACTACCTAGAAATTTTAAACAAAGATAAATTCAAAGTCCTAAATGTTTGTGAAAGGGATACTTTTTTTTAATAGGATGAAATTACAGAAAGTTTTTTCCAAGGTAAAAAATTAAATGTCAGCACCTTCTAACAGCTGCCTTGTTTGCCATCAGTAATGAATTTCCAAGCCTACAGAATCTTGTACAATTTACCTCTTAGTGAACTTAAGTTTGTCAAGGCTAGATAAGAGGGTATTAGAATTTGTTTATAATTGGTATTTTGATCTGTCTCTCAGCTTTTAAAATATTACATAATGCTATGAATACCATAAGCCTTAGCAATGTTTGCACTTTGAAAACCAGCTCTTATGTCAGAGATGTACTATATTTTTGCTGCTAGAGACCCAAATGTCTCTAGCAGCAAAAATATAGTGCAACCAATAATACATGTCACTCATTAATCTAATGTTATCTAATTGCATATATTTTGATGGCATTACATTTTGCTAATGATTCTGGTGAAGACATAGAAACTTTTTTTTTCAAACTATATGAAATCAGCATTGCAAACAGAAGACAAAGTGGTTAAGGAGGTGTTCTTTCATACTGTTGTTATTTTATAATCTTATTATCAGAATCAGGTTTTTTTATAGACAGTCCTGTTTTAGAAATAATTCTTTAATTCAGCTGAATATTAAGCAGTGTGAAAAAATTGAAAGGAAGGTTAGCTAATTGTTCTTTTAGCCCAAAATATTTATGGCAGCAAAAAAATCTGAATAATCATGGGAATCTTTTGTTTTCCATCCAAACTTAGGTTTCCCAGTATATGACATTTCAAACTTTTAGGTGACTCAGATGTTATGTTACATGAAAGCTATGAAGAAAATTATCTTCATTTCTGCAATGTCAGCCCCAGCACATAACTCAACGCTCATTGTTTAACCAAGAGGTTTCAGTAAATTGAACTTAATTCCCCAAAACCTTTTTCTGTGGATACCCTTCTCCCC